ATATTATGATTCATATGAAGATAAATATTCTATGTATTTATGAAACTAAATGGGTTCAGAAAAAAGTTAATTAGATTGATATTTTAGGATTTAATTCTGATATTCTGATAAGAGACATACTAAGAATGGTGTAAGTGTGATTATTAATAAGAGTTTGAATGATTATGTTGTAGAAATCAATAGAATTAGAGATATAATTATAAATTTAAAGATTATTAATGTTATAAGTGCTTATGCTTCTTAATTAGGTTTGAATATGTATTAAAAAATAAAATTTTAAAATGACATAGAAGAATTAATATAAAGAGTATCTTTTGAAGAAAGAGTTTTAATTACAGAAGATTTAAATGAATAGGTTGGTAAAGTGATAGAAGATTTTAAAAGTATTCATGATGACTATAGGCTTAGAACAACTAATATTTTGGTCTAGCTTATGATATTGTAATTGCTAGTATTTATTTAAGAAAAGAGAGGAATATCTTATCACTTATAAAAATTGGCATAATAAAACTCAAATTGATTACTTTCTTATAACAAAATAAATCATTTAAAATGTAAAAATTATAAAATCATTTTGAGTAAAAGTTTATGTATCCAACATTACTTATTAGTTTTGGATTTTAAGATGGATTGATAGAAAATAAAAATCGAGTAATATATTATCCTAGGATTAAATGAGTACATTTAAGGAATGCTAATAAAAATATTTTTGAGAGTAAGATTTATGATCTTAAAATTTGAGCTATTTATAAGGAAGTTAATATTATATAAGAAAAAAATAGCTAGTGAGATTATTAATATTGAAAGAAAAAACTTTAAAATACAAATATTTGACGGTGAAATCAAACTGTATAAGAAAAAAATTAAAAATAAGAAATTTGGTTATAAAAATTCGTTTGAATGTAAAAGCTCAAATATTGAGAAATATATAAAATGGTTGTAGGGAATCTAAAAAAGTAATATACGCTGCAAAGAATTTAGCTTTTAGCGACTTATATAATAGATTAGATACTAATGAGGAAAAAAAATATGTGTAAGTCAGCCAAGTAAAGAGACATGAGAAGTAAGGATTTAATTCAAATGAAGTGCATTAAAATAAAAATAAAATCAGTTTTCTTAAAAAAGGATATTCAATATAGGTGGATGAGATATTTTAATTAACCTTTCAATAAAGGTAGTGAGAATACGATTGATTTTAGTAATCTTAGCACCTCAACTGAAAATAACAAATTTTATTTTTATCATTGTATTGGTAAAAGCAAAGTTGGAGAAACTTAAAAAAAAATGCTAGATGAGTGGAGAGTGTGTTGATTCCTATTTTAAGAATAAACGTTATACTCAAGAGTGTGCGAATTATAGAGTAGTTAACTTAATGTGTCACACATTAAAATTTTGGGAGAGAGTAATTGAGCATTGGTTATGATGTGATACAAATGTTTCTCAAAATTAGTTTGGATTCATGCCGGGTGGAAGCATATATTTGCTGTGAGGTTTGATGGAGAAATAGCGAGAGATTAAGGGTGATCTGCTTATGATATTTATTGATTTAGGGAGAGCTTATGATAAAATTCCAAAAAAAGTGATTTGGAGAGTTTTTGAAAAGAAAAAAAGTATGAATTATTCTTATAATCAATTCATTAATGATATGTATACAAGAGTTGGTACTAGTGTTCAAATACAATGTGATTTGACCAAGTATTTTCCTATTTCAATAGGATTATATAAGGGATTATCTTTAAGCCTATATCTTTTTTGCTATAGTCATGGATAATCTTACTAAACATTCGCAAGAAGATGTACTTTGGTGATGCTTTTTGTTGATAATATTCTTGTTGATAAAAACTTGAATTCTGGAAGTCAACCTGAGAGTCTAAAGGTTTTCCTTTAAGTAGATGTAAAATTGAATATATGAAGTGTAATTTGAGTAGTTATAAATAAATTATGTGGTGGGATTGTGGCATTGGGTGATCAAGTTATTAAAATGAGTGCACGTTTTTGATATATCGGGTCTATTGTTCCAAGAGATGGTGAAATAGATAGGGACATTATAAGTAGAATTCAAGTTAGATCGTTGATGTGGAGGAATACATTTGGCTTGTTGTGTGATAGAAAAGTACCCCTCAAACTTAAGGGAAAATTTTATAAGATGATGGTGAGACTTGCAATGCTTTATGGTATTGAATGTTGGCCATTAAAAGAAAAGCTTAAAATTAAGTGTTCCAGAGGTGAAAGTGTAGATTTACACTTAAGAGATAGAGTGCGAAATGAGTATATATGTGAGAAGGTTAGAGTTGCTCCAGTGGCAGATAAGATTAGAGAGAGACGCCTTAGATGGTTTGGTCACATAAAAAATTCGCCTTCTGATAACCCTGTTAGGAGAGTAAATGTATTATATTTAACCTATGTTAAGAAAGATAGATGTAGACCTAAAAAGAATTGGTTAGAAAGTATATAAATGACATTTTTTTAATTAGATATAAATGAGAATTTGACTCTTAATAGGATATAATGGAGAAAAAGAATTCGTGTTGCCGACCTCATAGTGGGATAAATGCTTGTTGTTGTTATTGTTGTTGTTGCATATGCATAATGTGGATCCTAGCAATTTGAGACATGTCATTAAGAGGATAGTGATTTAAATCGGATGATTTGAAGTGAAGGATCGATCTCAATCAAATGTAGTTTGATAGACTTCTTTTGGATTATTATAAAATTGAGTTATGAGTTGGATTTATGGGGTGAAACCCGAGTTTCTTTGTCTATTGGATTGACAAGGTGTTTAATTTTCTTATTGTTAAATTTGAAATCGTGAGTTTTCTTTATCGTAGTGAATGACATCCATGTCAAAACGCCAATGTCCACCTAAATGGATGTGAACAATGTTCATGGGGAGGATGATACAACACCAAAACATATCCTAAGAACAATGATTAGATCTCAAATCAAGGAACTGTATCAAGGTTAAAGTTCATCATCATCATCACCAAATATATATCTCAAAGCATGAAGAAAGCAATCTTGACCTATCACTTCCTAAGGACACAAATGTGCTCTCATTGCCGCCTTTGCCTCTACGACATACTTGCATATTGCTTGTTTGAAGATAACCACTCCACTTGCCAAAGTTGGCTTGGTTGAATATTTTCATTTAATAGCTTTTTTATTTTATTGTATTTTGTATAATTGTTTTTCTTTATTTGTTGGACAAGTCTCCATGTGACTACTTGTAAATGGCTTAAAAATATTGCCAAATCAAGAATTGGCAACCACCCTAGGATTAAAGAAGAAGAGTAATTTAAGTTGTACATCATATATAATTGGGAAATCATCTAATACATGCCAGGAATTCCTATTTATAAAAATAAAGTTATAAAAGATAAGATTGAAATCAAATATAATATAATCCTATCTAAAAATTTAAATTAAAACCTATAGTTATCCCAAAGAATAATAAATTCTAGTTTTAATTAAAATAAATTTAGAAGTCTTAATTTAAATCAAGTAACTGAATCAAATCCTAAATCTTTTCTTTTGTGCTGCATCAAGCAAGCACATACAATTGTAAATGCTGCAACTTAGACTTCTAGGGGGTGATTTGGTAATGATAGTAAGATAGTTAAAGTAGGTCCTCTTATAATTTCAAGCTAATTTGCACAATGAAATGAAAGCAAATTGAAAATGGTCCATCTCTATGTTTCAAAAAGAAAACATGGCTTGTCACGTAGCTATATTTGAACTTTAGATTGATTAGATTGGCTAGGATCGAATTTGGTTTGGGGCTCATTTAGTTTTGCATTCAAGTTAGACCAGCTCAAAGTTGGGCTTGGGTTTTATTACGCTGGTTTGGGCTGAGGATTGGATAGTGAGGAAGAGCTGGGTTTTTACAAATGCATTTAAGAGATGAGCAGTCTGGAGAAATGGACGAGAACACTGTTAGGTGGATGTCCGCACTAGAATTTATGGTTTATTATTATTATTATTATTATTTTTATTTATAGAAAGATGGACAACTGGTGGTGTTGATTATCTATTGTCACGATGTTTCTTATATTATCTTAGAGCACTGCATTCGGCTTTGCAAGAGTGGGCTTGACTTATGTAAGCAACCTTAAAATGAGCACAGCTAAGTCTATCCATAATTCGGTAGAACTATCAAATGGTGAAGGAATTGCTTTTAACTGTGGGATTTCATTCTTTGTTGCGTGGTTGCTCAAGTCTTGTATGAGCCTATATAAAAGTTGATGAATCGATGCAATTAAATGATATTTTTTGGATATTCTTAAGCCGTTTAGCCTCGTTTAACTATGACAATTGAATAAAATGAAAACTTTCATGAATAACTCATTAATTTCTCTTGTTGTAGTCACCCTTTTCCTCAGTTCAATGAATAACAAAATTGCTAATAAACTGTGAGCTTTTCTTCATAATTTGAACGATTAACCCATCAAATTATTAATAGACGTTAGAAATTGATTCGGGAAAAAAATTCTCTTTTGAACTGTGAGTGAACCATTGATTTTTTTTTTTTTTTTGATTCCTGGTTTTTTTTAGGGACAGTTGTATACATACAATCTAAATCTTGATTATTTACAAAACTTGCATCCAAATATCTCGATTTATATAATATCATCCAAACCTCGAGAGAAAAACAAGCCCTATCCTTTCTTTTGCTCTCATTAAATTCTCAATTATTTGCTCATAGCACACATAAATATATGGGTTTAATAGGTCTTTTTAAAAGCCTAGGTTTTTTAATTTTTTTAATAAGAATGTTTTGGTGGTATGTGTTTAAATCTCTTTATTTTGTTTTTTATTGTGGATTAAAGAAGAAAAAAATAAATAATATTCTCATTATTCTGTACGTTCTGAGATTTTGCATTTCTTCTTTCCATATTCTCTAGACCGCCAAATGAAGGTTTAAATTTTAAATTATGCAGGGAAGTTTTATAGTAGGGGAAGCCATTTCTTCTGGTCTTTCTGCTAATGAAATGTTTTCACAGGTACATTGCTGTTGGCGATGAGCCATTTCTTCTCAGCTATGCGCAACAATTCTATCCCTTCATAGTTGGTGCAGCAATCAATATTCACCTTGCACTTGTGAATGCCAAGTTAGCCGATAAAGTGAAAATCATTGTTCCTTGCAGTTCTGATGTATATCAATCCAACTTCAGCCTCCCTTCTACAGCTCACTTCAGGGATGATCTAAATACAACTATGTTTCAGCTTCTCTCCTTTCTAAGCATCCACCGCTCACCCTTTGTGATCGATATCAACCCTTTTCTAAGCTTTCAACAGAACAAAAACCTTTCCATTGACTACTTTCTCTTTCAATCCAGTGCACATCACTTATCTGATGGACACAATAGGTACAAGAATTTCCTTGATTCAAGCATTGATGCTCTAGTTACATCATTAACCAAGGCTGGTTTTAGAGACATGGAGATCATGATTGGGAGGATTGGATGGCCTACTGATGGATCAGCGAATGCGACAGCCGGTGTGGCTCAATCCTTCATGCAAGCTTTAGTTGAACACCTGAAGAACAAAGTTGGAACACCATTACGGCCGAAGAGACCTGTAGTAGAGACATATATCTTTAGTCTCTTAGATGAAGACCAGCGTGACATAACTACAGGAAACTATGAAAGGCACTTAGGCATCTTCACGTTCGACGGCCAAGCTAAGTATATTGTCGACTTGGGGCAAGGCTCAAAGAAACTAGCCAATGCCCAGAATGTGGAGTACCTTAGCTCGAGGTGGTGTGTGGTGAATAACAATAAGGACTTATCCAATGCTTCTGCCAGTGCCGTGAATGCATGTACTAATGCTGACTGTACTGCCCTTTCTTCAGGGGGCTCTTGTTTTAAACTTGGATGGCCTGCAAATATCTCTTATGCCTTCAACAGCTATTACCAACAACATGATCAGGGTGCAGAGAGTTGTGACTTTGATGGTCTGGGTTTGCTCACGACAGTCGATCCATCAATTGATGATTGTATGTTCGCTATTGCACTTCGCACATCATTCTCTACCTCTCTTCGTGGATTACCGATGCTTTTTTGGTGTACAATTGTAAGTTCATTCCTTCTCTTTGATCTGGTAAAGGAGAATTTTATTTTGGATGCAGTTTTCTAGGTAATATTTTGCTTTCAGGTTTTATTTTATGTTCTATATTAGAGTTTCTTGTGCTTAGTTACTCCATTAGACGCTGGGTTTTGTCTCTTTTGATTTGCATCGTGGTACTTGGAATGTTATATTGTCTACTTTTTTTTTTTTTTTAATCTTGTGTAAGGGGCATTTTTTTATTCATTTTTTAACTTCATGGCATATGGTTTCTCGGCTTGTGGGACTTTAGCTCTCAGTTTACGTTGTTTAAGCTTAAACCATTGAATGGTGATCGAACAAATGGGAAATGAGATGCTAGCAGCAGGCTTGGAGTGAAAGATTTCTTTTTAATTTCACCTTCAATGAGTTTCATCCAGTCATCACATTAATGGATGTTGGGTTCGAGAAGTTGGTAGAGAGAGATAAGAGTAAATCACAATTGTTCTAGTTTCTTGTGACTGCACTTACGATTAATCAAATATAGAAGAGAGTGGAATCTAAGATTTTTATGTGGAATCCCATGAGGGAAAAATATTGAGGCGTAATCTAACAGAGTAACATTGTTTGTAGAAAATTAATGAATGAGTGGTTCACTGTCAAGTGATTGAAGGATTTTAGCACAAAATATAAAGCTGAGGGCATCAAGGTGGATCCCACATGTATCAATTATGAACATTTTTGTTGCATGCGATGGCAAGGACTATGATTGAAAGCAATTGTAGTGTAATCCTGACTAAAGATGACAATAGGTTAGGTCTATTAGAAATGAGTATGAAGCTTGTCTTATTGGAGAAGGTTGCAATGTATATCTTGCAGTGAGAGCAATGTCATAAGTGAGATAGTTATGGAGATGCAATGTTGCTGTGGAGTTTTGGATTCAACAATGATTATGTCGAATGTAGTGACATTGGTTCGAAGGGGGACACGAGAGGATATGTTAAATTTAGAGAATTGGAGAGGAAAAATGCTTTCTTTTTATTACACAAAACTATCTCTATTTATAGATATCTACATGATATCTTAAAAAGAAACAAATAACTATGGAATCATGCATAATTTCCCTAATATAATCCTTCATAAAAGAAACCACTTGAATATGGAAGGAGATCGGCGTGATCTAGGTGAGCCTCCCACAGATCCCCATCCTAACCATAGGATCAAGAGCTAAGGGATGGCTAGGATGGTTGGGACGGTATTTGACACTCTTCCTCAAGCTCTAGAATATAGATCTATCATTTCCAGCTTGGTAATCAGTCCCATAAAGGTAGAATCAGTCCCATAAAGGTAGAACTATATTAATCAGGACAACAGTGAAGACTGTGTTGCTATAGATATGATAAATCTAATAAGGGAAAGCCGACAATAAAGGCACGGTAGTAGAAAGAAAAAAAAATATTTTTTGGGTTGCGGCAAACTTTATGGACAACAACAGAAAAAAAATGTCTCAAGCAACTCAGCACTCGACACACAGATCTCATCCTGTCTGATCGAGCTAGCCTTCGATCCAATGCAAATTAGTCATTTGACTCCACCATAATAGACTCCTATTCGATCTGCCCCATATAGGTGCATTTAAGGCCTCTAATCCCACTAGTCTGATCTGAGGAAGGAGTGCAGGTCTTGCGCTCTTGCTTGTTCCGGTCCTAGACCCTCACTAGAGGAAACTCTCATCTCTTTCCATATGCATGCAAGAGGACCTGTGCTCGACTTCTCTCGCAGATCTTGGATGCATGAAGGACATAGAAGGACCAATATTCTTTAGAATTCCAACAATGAAGGCCAGTGGAAGGACCAATATTTCTCAGAATTTCGGCAATGAAGGTTGGTGGTGGGAAATTGTATTCCTCAGAATTCTAGTACTGAAGGCTGGTGGCAGGAACCTGCATTACTCAGAATTTTCGTAATGAAGGCTGGTGGTGGGAACCTATATTTCTTAGAATTCTAGCAATAAAGGCCGGTGGTGAGAACCTATATTCCACAAAATTCCGGCAGAAGGCTGGTGGTGAGAACTTGTATTTCTCAGAATTCCGACAATTAAGGCCGATGGTGGGAACATATATTCTCAGAATTTCGACAATGAAGACCGGTGGTGGGAACCTGGAGAACCAGCAAGCGCTACCTCCTTCAGGGTAGGATAAAGCGCTTCTAATTTCTCTATAGCCTCACCTTCGATATTCACGATTGACTCCCTACATAGGGAAGTAGTGTACTTCACCATCTGTGCGCTCATCAACTCTTCGGTCACCGTAAGTGCGCACTGGAATTAAGATCTGGCATCTTAAGGCTGGCTCGATCAGACGGGAGGAGATCTCCATGCCGAGTGTTGAGCCACTTGAGATATTTTTTCTGTTGTTGTCCCTAAAGCTTGTCGTAACCATAAAAAAAGATTTATTTTTTCTCTGATATCATGTTAAATTTAGAGAATTGTAGAGGGAAAATACTTTTTTTTTTATTGCACAAAACTATCCATATTTATAGATCTATATATGATATCTTAATAAAGAAACAAATAACTATGGAATCATGCATGATTGCCCTAATATAATCCTTCCTAAATCAACCATCTGAATATGAAGGGTGATCGGCGTGATCCAGGTAAACCTCCCATGGATCTCTATCCTAGCCATAGGATCAAGTGCCAAGGGATGGCTAGGATGGCTGTGATGGTATTTGACACATGTCATAGACAATTGCGAGAGAACAATGCAAGTATAGATACAAAGATAATTGACTCTTTTCTAGAAGCGATATGATGAAATGATATTGAATCTGGATGTGCTTCATCCTGGCATGTTATGTAGCATTCTTGGTTAGATGAATAACACTTAGGCTGTCACTATGCAACTTCTCATTTCTTATCCTTTGCCAAGTTCTGCCATGAAATTTTATAACTATATCATCTCTTTGCTAGCCTAAGTGATAGCAATATACCTAGCTTCTATGGTGGAGAGCAACATCTTTTGTAATTTGGAAACCCAACTCACTATAGTCTTTCCAAGAGTAAAAATATAACTAGTTGCAGTTCTCCTACCATCAAGATTTCCAATAAGATGAGAGTTTACATACTTCTGTAATCAAGCTCAGCATCTCCGAAGCAAAGAGCTTTGTCAAGTGATCCTCTCAAGCACCCGATAATCCACTTAACCTCCTCCCAATGAAGTTTGTCTGGGTTATTCATAAATCACTACATTTGTTTCATATTAGAATAAACATCTAACTTTCAACCATTGAATCATACAGAGTCCTCTCCATCTACTTTTGCTCCGATGCAGAATTATGGCAATGCTACAAAAGGATCATTGTGTGTTATGAGTAGTCAGATAAAGCATCGGTGATTATTTCATCGACATCAAGGTATTATTAGCTAAGAATGATTATATTTGATTGAGGTTATAAAAAAGGTATGCATCAGTAAATTTTTTAATCAGAGAGATACATAAAAAGATATGTAGGTTATTGGCAACGAAGTTGTCATGGATAGGTCTTATGATTTGTTCTCACACACACGCGCGTGTATGTCTCCCAATGGAATGAAGTGCTCGATTGAGTGGGTCCAAAGCTAAAAAATAGGAAGAAAAGATGTTCGAAGTATCATCTATTGATATGATGAGTAGCTATGATGTATACCCGATATGTTATTTTGCAAGCATTAATAAATTGGCAAGTGTACATCTCAGACGTTGGTTGTGTTGAGATTTTATTAATGAGCAGATACAATTTTATGTTGCAAGCATTAATAGCTCTCCAAATCAATTATGTTGGAAACTGAAGAATATGTCAATGCTTTTATAAATGCAAAAAGTATTTTGTGATATGCAACTGAATATCATATGCAAATCTTAGCAAAATCATTCCGAGAGAACTATAAAAAATGCTAAATAAAAAAATATTTATTTCATAATCCTATATATATATATATGATAAAACCCACAGAAGTACTTATGCGTTTCATAAACAATAAAATTGTAAGTCCTAAAAAAAATCAAAAGCTCTCTAAAATTCAATCTTTGAAGGAAAGCCTATGAGCTAATGGTTCTATCTATTACAATATGTTGAGAAAAATAAAAGGAAACACAACAAAGGGAACCAAAGAAATATAATCCAAAATATCGAAGCAATAGCAGCCAAACATCAACAAAGAAGCCACAACAATCACTGAAGCAACCTAAAAAAAACAATAAAATAGCGACATACAAAAGCAAGAAAGATCTAGAGCCCACCATGCCAAAAAGCCAACACCAAAGAGACATCAAACAATAGTCAGAAGGAGCTCCACCCCAAGAAGAACACCAAGCATTATAAGACAGCCCACCAACACAACCAACAAAGAAGAAAAGGATAAAACAACACACTATTTTTTAGATTTACGCTTTCAACGTTTACCAACATGTGAGAGAGTATTCTGATAACATGACTCACGTTCAAGCAATACAAATCATGAAAAGACTCATCCTGCTAACCCATACCCTCTCACCAACCCCACAAGGCAAGGAAGGTGACCCATCGAACCGGTCATATTGCTCCATAGAAGTTTTCTCCGATCTTGAAACCAATTAAAATTTCATGGCATTAGAAGATATGATAGCAATTGACACATTAACAAGAGGCTCACTCCCAACCAGCCCCATAGGAGAAGGCGACATATCCAGCTCATCAAAAGTCATAGGTGATTCAACATAAGGAAACAAATCACTAGAAAGTTCATTCACCACCATCATGTTAACATCACATAAACCCTTATCCACCTCATTCAACTCGGGACTAGAGCCAGAGGCAATAACCAAAGGAGTTATCTCACCCAAGGGTGTTTGAAGCAAGTCATTACCATATGCATCCTTAGCACCAGAACCAGCCAATTCCACTAAATGAGAAGAGTCTTTAATGCCAACAATATCCGCCATAAGCAAATCCAAAATTCGTCTGATCAGGAACAACAACAACATGCACCTCAATATAATGCGGAAAATCAGGCCCAACTGATAACCCTACATCACCAACTAGGGCATTAGTTTCATGCTAGGATTCAACACTATGAGCATTGCTATTCACATCAATAGGAACGTTCTCGCCTACAAGAATAGGTTCCAAATTTCCAACATTTTCCTGTTAAGGAAACCCAACCAAACTCCCCGCATTATCAGCGATAAGGGCTGGAGCATCAGCTAAATGAGGA